GCCCCTCCTAGCATTATTCGAGTCTCCATCTGTCGGTCCTCCGGAAATCATGTATATCGTTCCTCTCTTCACTTGGCCTCCATCTCCTTCTCTTTCTCGTTCCCTACTTCCTCGTCTCCTTTTCCCCTCATCCCTTTTTCGACCATCTCAACCACCTCGCGCCTCCTCATCATCATCTTCCTCGCTCTTCTCCATCGAGTCCTCCCGACAGCTTCTCTTCTCCTTCCTCCTCACCTTATCCTGATAAACAAACTCTTTAAGATGCCCTACCCGAATGAGGCGCCCAATCTCGTCCTTGAGATGTCGGCAGTCTTTAGTAGTATGGCCATAGTCTTTGTGGAAGCGGCAATATCTCCTCGACTTCGGTTGGGTTGGCCCTTCGAACCTCGACCTCGGCCACGCTACATCTTTCCCATCTATCCCTTTCTCCATGTCCATCAAGACCTCGGCCACCTTTGCGTTCAACGGGGTATAATCATGAAATCTTTTCCCTCCAGAGATAGGCCTGTAGTTCCATCTGTCCTCTCGTCCTCGATCCTGCTTAGCTCGCCCCTCTCTCCTGGGCGAGGCTCTCTTTTTGGGCGAAACTGCCTTCTTCTTCCTCGACTCCCCTCGACCCAACTCTTCCAGCTTGGCAAACTCTGCCTCAGTCTCCTCGAGATTAATGTATTTCATACAACTCCTCAACACCTCATCATACGTGCGAGCAGGGGTCTTAGCCAGAGAAGTCCGACATGGTCCTGCCCGCAAACTCCTAATCAATCCTCCCGCCTTGACCTCATCGACTGCCGACGGAATCTCCAAGCAAGCCTGGTTATATCGAGCTACGTATTTACGCAATGACTCTTTCTCGCCTTGCCTCATTGCCATCAATGTTAAGTACGTTTTCTCCTGAGCTACCGCGCTCGAATATTGGTTTGTCAACTTCTCCGCAAAATCCTCGAAGTCCACAATCGAGCCTAGGGGGAGCTGCTGGAACCAGTCGAGTGCCTCTCCCCTGAGGGTCGATAAGAGAGCCCTGCAACTAACGGGATCAGTATATCCATGTAACACAGCCATATTTTCGAATGTTCTCACATGTCTCGA